TATATATTACCTGGTTTAATTAGAGGGATCCCGGCAGCTCCCAGCTCGGTATAATTTCGGTAATATCAGCATGCGATGGGTCGGATTCGGTAATTCACTCACAAACCTCCCTTCACTCCCTCTATCTGCGTTCCACTCGCTTCCTGGCGCTGCGTTTCAGCGTGCGTTCCATTCACTTCCTGTATCATGCGTGCGTTTCACTTACGTCCTATGATCAGCGTGCGTTCCATTTACTTCCTGTATCCAGCGTGCGTTCCATTTACTTCCTGTATCCAGCGTGCGTTCCATTACAGTTTGTGAGGCTGTTGGTGATCAGTAATCAGTTTAATGTAACGCTCAGACTTGTGGGAAGTCTGTCACCATGACAACTAGATGCTGGGAATTGCAGTCACTGCTAGTAGCACGGTTAGTGGGGGAAGGGCTGGATGCTGGGGATTGTAGTCACTGCTAGTAGGACGGTTAGTGGGGGAAGGGCTGGATGCTGGGGATTGTAGTCACTGCTAGTAGGACGGTTAGTGGGGGAAGGGCTGGATGCTGGGGATTGTAGTCACTGCTAGTAGCACGGTTAGTGGGGGAAGGGCTGGATGCTGGGAATTGCAGTCACTGCTAGTAGGACGGTTAGTGGGGGAAGGGCTGGATGCTGGGAATTGCAGTCACTGCTAGTAGCACGGTTAGTGGGGGAAGGGCTGGATGCTGGGAATTGTAGTCACTGCTAGTAGGACGGTTAGTGGGGGAAGGGCTGGATGCTGGGAATTGTAGTCACTGCTAGTAGCACGGTTAGTGGTGGAAGGGCTGGATGCTGGGGATTGTAGTCACTGCTAGTAGCACGGTTAGTGGTGGAAGGGCTGGATGCTGGGGATTGTAGTCACTGCTAGTAGGACGGTTAGTGGGGGAAGAGCTGCATGCTGGGACCAGTCACTGGCTAGTAGCACCTAGTTGGCGGTGGAAGGGCCGGATGCCGGGGATTGTAGTCACCGCCAGCAGCACGGTTAGTGCGGAAGGGCCGTGGATGCTGGGATTGTAGTCACGCCAGTGCAGGACGGTTTAGCGGGTGGCGAGCCGTAGCCGGGGATTGTAGTCACCGCTGTGGGGTAGGGACGGTTAGTGGAGGGGAAGGGCTCCACTAGTCACTGCTGTGCAGACGGTGCTTGCGGGGAAGGGGCTGGATGCTGGGATTGGTAGTCACTGCTAGTGCACGGTTAGTGGAGGGAAGTGCTGCATGCTGGGATTGTAGCCACTGCTAGTAGCACGGTTAGGGGGGGAAGGGCTGGATGCTGGGGATTGTAGTCACTGCTAGTAGGACGGTTAGTGGTGGAAGGGCTGGATGCTGGGGATTGTAGTCACTGCTAGTAGGACGGTTAGTGGTGGAAGGGCTGGATGCTGGGGATTGTAGTCACTGCTAGTAGGACGGTTAGTGGGGGAAGAGCTGCATGCTGGGGATTGTAGTCACTGCTAGTAGGACGGTTAGTGGTGGAAGGGCTGGATGCTGGGGATTGTAGTCACTGCTAGTAGGACGGTTAGTGGGGGAAGAGCTGCATGCTGGGGATTGTAGTCACTGCTAGTAGGACGGTTAGTGGAGGGAAGGGCTCCACTAGTCACTGCTAGTAGGACGGTTAGTGGGGGAAGGGCTGGATGCTGGGGATTGTAGTCACTGCTAGTAGCACGGTTAGTGGAGGGAAGTGCTGCATGCTGGGGATTGTAGTCACTGCTAGTAGCACGGTTAGTGGAGGGAAGGGCTGCATGCTGGGGATTGTAGTCACTGCTAGTAGCACGGTTAGTGGAGGAAGGGCTGGATGCTGGGGATTGTAGTCACTGCTAGTAGCACGGTTAGTGGAGGGAAGGGCTGCATGCTGGGGATTGTAGTCACTGCTAGTAGCACGGTTAGTGGAGGGAAGG